AAGAAACTGACCATTTTCCCAGCATTTTAGCAATGGATTGTATGTATAAGTTCCACTGAGGAAACAACTATTCATTGTGATTGGTGAAAGTTCTGGGTCTGATCAGTGATGATGGAATGTTACTAATTTGGTTTTTGGGGCATTGACTGTGAGCAACCAGTTCCCCCCCCCCCCCGATTGAGCTGTTAGAGCTAGGTCTGAGGTGAGATCAGCTGTCAAACTCTGGTTATCTAGAGTTTTGGAGGTGCATCCATGTACTGTTGTATCATCAGCATATATATTCACAGGTGATTGGAGTATAACTCTTAGACAGATCATTTATCTAAAGTAGAAAGAGGGTTGAACTGAGAAACGAACCTTGAGGGATGCCTGTGTCACTTGGGCCTCGGATAACTGGCTGTTAACAACTACATTCAGGGACCTACCTGTTAAGAACTTGATAATTGAGAAGACTCTCCCAGTGATTCCATAGCTAGAGAGCTTGTGCAGTAACTTTTTATGCCACACCTTGTCAAAAGCCTTTGAAATGTCTAACGGGATCATCCTGATTGAGATGTATTTGTTGTCTAGTGACTCGCTGATTCTGTGATTAATGGCAGTTTGAATATCAGCAATGGACCGATCAAAACTTGTACTGCTTGTTGCTCAGGTGGTTGTTCCGATTGAGGTGGTCAACAACCTTCTTGATGATTATAGATTCAAAAAGTTTGCTAATGACACTGAGGAGATTGGGTCTATACTGTGGAGGGGATGAGTGCTCACTTGCGTTCTTGAAAAAAGGGCATACATTTGATACTTGACATGGATTTGAAGGATTTCTCCTTCAAGCAGCAGTTAAATAATTTCATTAAGATTGGAGATAACTCTGGGTTAATATTCTTGAGGACAGCCACTGGGATTTTGTCTGAACCAGTTGCATTCTTAGGGTGAAGACTTTTTGATCAATCTTGTGACTTCTTGGGCTGTAATAAAAATATTACTGAGATGGGAAAAGACGAAAAGGGGATGGCCTTTGGCTTATCTGATGCAGATAAGATGACTTCAGGGCCATTTATAATAGTAGGCACTGATGCTTTGCCTTGATTCAGAGTTTGTTTGGAGAGCTTCCAGAACTCCCAGGATCTAATTTGTTTGCTTTCAACCTTTGCCTGGACTGCTTGTTCATAGCTAATAGCTACACTTTGCATTTTCTAGAATTCTCTAGCAGTGATTGTAACAGTTCTGAATGCAACAAACTACACTGTTTCCTGTGATAGATATTATGGTAGTGGTTACAGTGAGTTGCAGCATTTTCAGGACTGAATCAGGGATGGTTGTTCTGTTTTTGCTGGAATTTTTTCTGGGGTATAAAACTCTCTATTCCAGAGAGAATCCATTCTAAGATGAGGGCAGCAATTTTGGAGGCTGTATGTTTTGAAGATTATCTTTCCTATTGTATTCCTTCTCTTGGGTTGACTAAAATGTTCATTTTGTGTTTGTTGTTTGGAGCACTCAATTTTAAGTTTTAACAGATTATTTTCTGATATTGTTATTTGGGCATCTTTGTGAGGTTTCTTGGAGTCATTAGATGTTTGATGCTTTCAAAAATCAGACTCCCTCATCTAGGCAAACCATCTGGGTTTAGGCATATTTTGATTTGTGCTTAAGTAGTGCTACCCCCCATATAAGGTTTCAGCCCCCCCCTATCCCCACTCATATTGAAGTAATTACTGCTGTCTCAGCAGCCAACTTGATGACCCTTTATTTATTGGGCCACTGTGATACTCTGCATGTATAGTCCCTGCAGAAGAACTGGCCTTTGTGAAATTTTGCATACTGTCTCCATGAATATACCTTGATCACTACTAACTCTGCATACTTTACTCTATTACTTTTGGTAAAATCCTAAATTTATTTTCCCCAGCAAACAGTGGGTTCTAAGAGAGTAGTCTACTTGAAGATTTCCAATATCAGTACCTCATCTGGTTTTAGTGTTGTTGCAGCAAAATTTTTGTGGGAACATAAGTCACTTTACCAGATTGGTTTCAGCTCTGTCATGTGCTATTTTTTTCAGGCCCAAAGAGGTGGTCCTAGTGGCTGATTTTAGCTTCTCTCCAGCCCTGATGAAGTTGTTAGTCATCTTTATTGATACCTGCAGTGGCTATAGCCTTCAGGAATTAAGCATAGCACCAGTGGTAGCATTTCTTGCTCAAGGCCTTTGGAGAACATCTCTAGCTGCTGTCCAAGACATACCCCATCTTCCATCTTCTTTTTACAGGACAATTTAGATGGGATTAGCAAACATCATAGATGGTTTGAATTAATAATTTTATTTGATCAAGCTTGCCTTTCCATCATTCATGAGACTTTGCACTTTATCGCTTACTTCTATCTTGTGTAGGCTCCCCACTATCATATCTTGTTGATTCCTTCTCTACTGATGCTTGTAATTGACCATGGATTAGCAACCATTCTTTATACATTGTCATGGTGTGGTATTGCACTGTCACACAGTGTATAGGAACATGTAATACAGGTATATCTAGTCTTTAAACATGTCATGGAGGTTTGACATTGCAGTTAACCAGGTCTTCATCTGTTGATTGGTTACTTGAATGGATAATGTCTCACTGAAGCTGAAGTCAAACCTCTTTTCCAGTGTCTTCATCAGTTTCTTGTTGATGGATGATATCTGTCTCTGCTGTGAAGTGGGAATTATTGATAGACCTTTCCTTTCTTCAGCACCATTGATCTGGACTTTGATGTCTTCCAGACATTCAAAAAGATCTTTTGCTTTTAATCATTTCACTCTAAGCAAGGCAAGAAAGCCACGAAGACACAAGAGTGTTAGAGAATATGAGGAGAAAAAACACTATTAAGGAGAGAGAACAATAAAAGAAATAGAATTAAGACAGAAGATAACAATTGACATGGCATTTAAATTTTTGAAAATCAACAATGACCAGGAAGCAACAAGCCAGAAGAGAGTTCCACAAGAGAGAAGTGTGATAGAAGAAACTGTTAGCATAGAACTTATGGTTACATTTAGCCATTTCAACTGTAAAATGATGGGGTCTTGCTGCCAATCGAGTACTGTGCTTAAAGTCATAAAGTCTATGTACCACAGAGGAAAGTTTATCAGAACAAAAGGCTTACAGTTGAAACAGTGTTTTTTCATTTGATCACTGAAATTAAGCAAAGTCAATCTTGGTCAGTGGGTGACCACTTGGGAATACCAGGTGTTGCAAGCTTGGATGTTCGAATGGTGTAATGGAATACATTTTGGAATTGAAAATTGGAGAGCAGTCCCAATTATAGTTATTTGTTGATGCACAAATATCCTTGGGAAAAGTATGACTCTACCTCTTCTCCCCCAGCCATGGGTTAATTAATAGGGCTTGTATTAGTAAATCATTATCTCCAAAAAATTCTTAATCTAAAAATATTTTTTGCCTTTAAATAACCTGCAAGAAGTTGATAAGCTATAAAAAAAAACAAAAAAACAGATCAATCTATCATTAGAACAATTACCATGAAAGTATTTATAGAAACTGCACAGGGAAGCTATGTTATGATGGTGGAAAAGTGACTGAAACTAAGATGCCAGATCGTTGAGAAATTGCTTTTGGTTGTATAATGACAACTGTCATTATCAGCATGCATTTAGCAAAGATTGTCAAAATTTAAGTGTTGATTCTAATGCTGAAACTGGAAGAAAACACATCATGCATTTTTTTTTTTTTATTTTAAGAAATGTCAGCATGCAAC